TATAGTAATTAGTAGCGTGTGTGTGTGTATGTATATATATATATATATATATATATGGAAAAAGCTGGGATTAACCTACTAGCTCTTATGAACATATGAGCCCAACGGGCCGAGCCAACGATCACGGATGTTTGGTAGTGTTTGAAATTTTTTTTTCTACAAATCCAAACTACTTAAAATTTTAGGTGTATGCTTATCAAAAATAGGTGAATCTTCGAAAAATATCAAAAATTTATTTTTACACGAAATAAATTGATCAAAATACCCCTGAAAAGTTTTGGGGGGTATTTTGGTGATTTTGTTTTCATAAATAATTTTTTTATATTTTTATTAGGTGCGCCTTGATGAAAAGAAAACACATATAAAATTTCAAATGATTTGGATTTGTAGAAAAAATATTAAAATTCAAGTACTACCAGATATCTGTGATTGTCAGATCGGCTCATATTCAATCTGGGCAGTTGGGCTCCTATGTTCATATGCGCTAGTGGGCTAATTTCTGCTTTTTTCTATATATATATATATATATATATCCCTCTTCGGAACAACCATCTGAAGCTCCACAACCATGGAGATTTGGCCATCTATCGGGTGCTAATCAAGTAGGTTTAACATTCGCATACTTTGGAGTTCATTTTGTTAATTTTTTTTATGGGGTTTCCAAGAAAATCTCACAAGTGTATAATGGTTCTATGTTAATTTGGGAAACAATATGAGTGATGATGGATTGGGGTTTTGGGGCTCAAATAATCTAATATTTGGATGATAAAACAACTTTAATGATAAAATATTTCTACATGTTGATAGCTCTTTGCTAGTGGGATGAATTAAAAGTATTTTGAAACACATTTGAAGGTTTTTGCTTGAGATTTTAATGATGGGAAGAAAGGGTGGACATGGTTTTGTGGCATTCCATAGAGCTGACTGATAATAAGAACATCGGACAACATAGACTGCACCATTGTCTTGTAGTAGTACTACTAGACATGAAAATAATAAAGAGGCTGCCTATCCGATAATACGAATGTTGGACAGAGCCAGTGCTTTGCAAAAAGAGCTGGTCATCTTGTCTGGTGTTGTCATTATCGGACATAAGGGCAACTTAGTAAAAAAAAATTCTTTGAGGGTACTCGTAATTTATGGAAAAAATAATATCACATGGTAATAAAAGCCTCCAAACCCTGGTCATACGTAAATTTCTCTTTTTTCAAATTGTTTAGAAGTTAGCTTTTCAAAGGTGTTAGTGGGGTGCTGAAGGTAGAAATGAAAACCACAATATGGTAACTTGGATGTGTGGGTGCTACCACCACAACCCCAGCCCAATAAGAAAGGATGTTGCGGTAATTTGATCAATTTAAACCATGAAAAACTAGGGGTATTATCGTTTTGTAGCCCGAGCTACTTAAGTGAGCTTAATTGCCAAAATGCACCTACTTGTCCGCGATCCACATTCTTAAAAGATGGCGCTTTGGTTTATTTTTTTAAAGCAACACTCCTTGTATTAAATGAAATCATTTGAATGATTTTGTAAAGTAATTTAACTATTTATTTGATATTTCAATTATCTTTACTATTTCATATTTGCAACCACTATGCATATGCATATGCATATGCTCTCTCTCTCTCTCACGAGTTTAGCACTCTTTTTTTGTTTGTTTGCGGGAAAGTTGACTCCTAATGAGATTACCACTCGTCTAAAAGCTAACAGTAATGTCGTATCATCAGTAATTTTGTTTTAAAATTGTTGTTGTGATGGACGTTATTTTTAGGGCGCGGTTTGTACAAGGTTGCAAATAAAAAAAATAAAGTTGTGATACTTTATACTGTTTATTTTATTTGAATGGTATAGATCGGACATATTTTTTATCTTTAAAAGCAATTTTAATACATATCATGTTTTTTAAAATAGTGTCAAATCTATATTGCCGAAATAAGATGTACAACATAGATTATTGCAACTTTATTTCTAACAAATGGAAATTATAAACTTTTCTCTTAAAATTTTTAAACATTTTTTTATAGGCAATGATTGTTAATTTTATTATTTTTTAAAAAATATTTTTGCTACTTCTTTTCTTCAAACTACAGTTTCTAACTTTTAAATTATTATTTCACTTAAAATATTCCTCAAATTATTAAAATGAAAAGGCGCAGCTCACAGTTTGTGAGGTTCTTATTTTGCATCCTAAAAGAAAATTCTTGTCAATATGTGAACTAGGTCTCTCTAGATCTTGAACATTTTTCACAAAACCTGATTTGTTATTATCTCACAATGTTGAGAGAGAATTTCCACCAACCAAATCTGGATAAAAGAAGTTGCCTCTCTCTCTCTCTCTCTCTCTCTAAATGAACAAAGGAAGAAATAGACGCCCTCTCCCTCTCTCTCTCTAGACAATACTTTGATTGTAAAATTGAGATTTATACAATCAGGGATACTTTATGTAAGTTGACCCCAAGAGACCCCAATTGAATGATAAAACACCGTTGCTTAGTCAGAGTTACAAATAAATAACATGATTGATAAGGAGGAACTGGGTATTTATATTGTTTATCTCCCAAATGCCCCGCATTTATGAAGAGAGAAAAAGTTTGTTAAGGTTACAACATTATAATATAAAAATAAGGAGTACCTGGGAAGGGCTAAGGTTGCGGTGATAGCGCCCCTCACCTTAGTCACAACGTTGTGGCTTTTATTCACACCATTAACGTCATTCTATTGAACACTTTAAAAAAGCTAATTTCTAATCTATTTGAAAAAACGGGTAGCGGCCTATCTTCCCCATTGAATTAGCCAAAAAAAATATAAGGTGCACCTTAGAAATCTACTAAAAAAAGAGTATTATGAAGTTGAAAAACGTTCAAATTGATCATATCAATCTCAAGATGTTTAGATATCAAGAAAAAATAATCTCAAATATTAAAAATAATACATCTTATAACATGTTTTCTAAACCGTTTATTTTTTAAGAATTTCCTAGATCTGTACTATTTTTAAAATTTTAAATTTTATAATTAGAGTTGAACATGAATTTTCAAATTATCATAAAAATTTCAACACCAGAATTACACCTTCCAGCAAAAGTTAGAAGTGTGACTTACTTCTATAGTATAAGGTGGGCACTTTATATATCTCTTTCCTTCATCAAATGATATAAATAAACTTGAACACCAATGAGTTTTAGTTATTCCAATAGGCACTCTTAGGGGTTAAATTACTATTGTTCATCCTTTTAATCTTATAAAGATTTTGTTAGGGTACTCATTCACATATAGTATTTCTTTATTGTACTTAATATTTTTGAACACTTGTTACCCTTATTTTTTACACTCATTATATATAATATATTTTAAGCAATGATATTTTTGTTCATCAAGAGTGGTAGAATAGATATTTTCATATGCAAGTAATAACATTCTATTAGTGGTTAAAAATCAATTAATGATTCATGTGGATGATATCATAATCTTATATAGATAACGCTATTGCCCACTATATTGATATGTAATTTTCTTTTTATCAATAATTTCGGCTTTATTCTTGATTAATTATCTAAAATACTTGTAGATAAAAATTATTACATTGTAGGGTAATAGTATAAGTGTCAAAAAAATATTAAGTATATTAACAAAAAGACCTAGCTTCTATGCGGCCAAACCCGCACATGTAGAAATGTGGGCCTCTTAATAAATCCATTTTTGAGATGGATTTTAAGACTTAATTTTTAAGGACATGTAATCTCTAACATGGAGATCATGAATATGAATAAATAAATAAATTTTAAAAACTAAAAATAATAATTCTAGTAATAAAATATTTGTATAGTTAATCTCCTTTGTTTTTAGATGGAACACCTACTATGTAGGAATGTGGTCAAGCCTTTTCCTTAATAAAATGATGAGCTTCTATATCGCTTGGGCTTTATGGAAACAGAATAAAACCTCACCTCGAATCGCCTTCTAGAAAGCACTTCCGGCAATGAAAATCTCTATGATGGCTCTAAAATCAATTTTCAACAACGACAATACAATTTGAACCTAAAAAATTATATAAATCTTGCGGATCTATGAACAAGGGCAAAATAGACTGCCTAGATAATTTGTTAGAGTATATAATAATTTAAGAGCTTGAAATACTGATCTTGTTTTTGCAATCATAATGTTCAAGCCTGGATCATCAATGTAAAGATTTTTGAATGCTTGAATTGCAAATTTTTATGAGTTATGGGGTGCACCAGCCCTGTCAAACCATTTTCCTTAACAAAATACCCCATGTGTAGGAGTACCCGACAAAACCCATCCTATAACTGAAATTCTAAATCTTTTTAGGAGATCCCCACAAGTGAAATAAAAAAGAAAAAATAGTTTATCACGCGTTAATTGAAATCATTTGACTTAGATAGACATTCTCCAGACAAGAGTGTTCACCTTTCCTTCCTGTCACAAGAGGTTTAACTTTAGAGTTTAAACCCTAGATAATCGTACGAAATGCCCCTATTGCCCTCTCCAAAACTTCATGTTAACAGCAGGCATAGGGCGCAGGGTGGGGCTTTATGGTCATCTTTCAATATTGGAGCATTTTCTGATCAGACTTTACACTTTCCGGTGAGTTGAACTGTAAAATTTTGATCAAGAGAGAGAGAGAGAGGTTCGAGTTTGAACAAACAAAGTCGATCAAGGTCTCCGACGTCTCTCGAATCTTCCGCCCCTAAACCCCAAGAAAAGAATCTCTCTCTCTCTCTCTCCCTCTTCTTGGTTCAGGAACCCAACAGAATCTCTCTCTCTCTACCGATCCTATTATCCCCTTGCTCCTCTTTGTTTCTTGTTCTGTGACTCTCTCTCTCTTCCTTTGCATCTCTGCAGGACCATGTGAAACGCACAAATCTATGGCCCCCAAAATGGCATCACGCCATGCCCTAGAGTCCTGTACTCTCCACCTCCATACATGGAAACCCTTCCTGTTAGACTCTTCTGAACCGGACCCACCTCCCCTTTTCTCCCAGAACCCTAGCCCCAACCCTAATCTCCTTCTGCATTACCCTCCCAAAAAGCAATGCCTCTCTGATCGAAAACCCAATGCTCTCTCTACAATCTCCGACTCTATCGATCTCTCAAGACTCAGCCTTTTTGACGAAGAGATTCTCAAGGGCCCGGCAAAAGATAGCACTGCCGTCATTGGAGTGGACCGATTGGCTAGAAAGAGAAGGAGAAGAGGGTCAAGATCACAATCTGGTGTGAGCAGTGATAAGGGGCGAGCTCCTCACCGATGTTTCTCCGACCCACCATTGATAGGGACTGATTCAAGTGGAGAATTTCTCTCTCATGGCGATGGGAATTGGGGTTCCGATTTTGGTGACAATAGAGAGAAGGAAGAGACAGTTCTGGGTTCGTTTTATCAGGGCATTGATGTTCAGAGCGTGGAGTCGGGTTATGGGACTGAGCCAGGTTATAGGGGGGATGGGGAGCTTGGTTACGGTGATGAGTTTGATGATGAGGAGGAGGATACGAGGCTCTTGTTTTGGGGTGATGGGCATGCATCCATGGTAGAAGGTATGATCCCCATTTTGCATTTCTTGTTGAATTATGAGTTTATTTCACTGTTAAGATTTTTTTTCTTCTGCTCTTTGTTGGTATGATTATTTATAATAATCTTTGGGGATTTTTTTATGGTTAAGATGCAGTCTCCAATCTTCGTAACCACTCTTGATATCTTCTACCGTTTATTAGTATTTTTGTTGTTTCTTTGTTTGTTTATCGGTAAGGCGTAGTGTCTCTCTGGTAGTAAACTAAGATATTTAATAAAATTGTTGGATTGGATCCTGTAAACGGATTATACAAAAAAGCATTTTAATAGATGGATCTTTATGGAGTTTGAGATGATTGTCAGATTCGTTTCTATAATGTGGAAGAGTGTTCAAAACTCGGTGAGTCAAACTCGGTACTCAGCTTGGTAGCCTGCTGAACCTGAAAATCCCTACTTCGTAGGCGGTTTCTTCATTGGCTCACCCAAGTTACTACAGCTCGAGTTACTGTACTGTAACTCGGGTGAGTTATGACAGATTCACTGAGTTTCTAACATACCGAGCAAGCAAAACTCACAAAGTCTGACACTTTGCAGTAAAGGACCCTCTCTCTTCCATTTTTCATCACTTCCAGATCTGTTTTAAGTTTCACCCTGGGCCTCTTTTTGCATTCTCGAAGAAATAACAATAGAAAAGAGCATTTTCAATAGAAAAAATAAAAATCTTGGATTTGCGAGATTTTGATTTTCAATCCAGGGTTTGGCTGAATTTCCAAGACTTATGGATTGTATATCTAACTCAATCTTGCCTGAAATTTCTTCCCCATGCCTGTTCTGAGTTCTCCATCGAATCAAAGGCTTATTCCCCCCCTCCAAAAAAAAACACTCAAAATCTCGGGTCCAAAATATTTTGAACATTGAAGCTCTGAAACTCTATTTTACTGTAAATTTCAAAGTAACTGGTTTCATTGAGTGCATGCTAATAAAATGAACTTTTTCATCATTTTCCATTTTGCATGTAGGTCCTCCCCCCCTCTCTGTTTTCCTATTTTTGGGTTTTTGTTTTTGCCAGTAACTCACCCAAGTTGGCGCAGACTAAGCAAGTGCACTCAGGTCTCATCAAGTGGACTATCTCTGGGCACCCAGTGAGTGCCCAAGTGAATCTGTTTTTTCAAACGCTGGTTGCCTCTGTTCTTTTTGGACACTGTGATCAGTAATTAGTGTTGTTTTTCCTTTGGTTGTGTGGCATAGAGTAGCTTACATATTTAAGATCATATCTTATCCTTTTCAGTCTTTGATTGCCTCCCAAGATGCCATAAAATTGTAACTTATTTCACACCCATTTGCACGTGGAAGGATGCTGATCTCATCCTAGGCAAATAGATTATGCCCAATGACCTCTAGCCATTCCTGAGCCTACTATTTTCTCCAATTAAAAGCCATGAGTATCCATGCTTTGATAAACTCCAAAGCTGAGGCTGGAATGTCTTCCTTAACAGCTGCAAAAGCAAGCATTAAATCTTCACCCAGTATCAAATGTGGACTCATGACAATCGACAAATGCAACAAACCCACAATGCATCATACGAATATGAAATCTACAGGTTGTGATGCAGGTGTTTCCTTCTCAAAATTTCTCTTTGTTTCCCTACCATATGTATTAATTATTAAGAGATCCAGAGAACGATCTAGCATAGGGCAGCCTGGACAGCTCCATCATATCAATCTTACATCCTTACTTGAATGACTCAGTTGTTTCAATAAGTTTCTGCTTTAGTCTGGTGACAATACGGAAGGCCGACTTACTGTAAATTATGAAGTATATCATTCTGACATTTGCGTATGACACATTTTATGCCCTTGATTACGCTTATGTCAAAGGTTTGGGCGTACTCTATGCACGATAAATGTTTTGGATAATATCTGCTTGCACTTGCAGGCATCAAGTGTAGAACCTATGTTTTAGATGTACTTTTGGTGCTCAACATTTTGGCTTTGATTGTAGGTTACCCTTGATTCGCCTATATGTTGGGTATGAGTCTGGTGTTTAAATTTTTCCCAAGATTCGTATTGTCTTTGTGGTATGCATCATCTTTTGACCTATACAATGTTACAACTGTCACACAAGGTAATTCACATGCTTCTCATCTCTTACTTGAGGGAATGAAGGGACAAAAGTTTGTATGTCAGCCTGGAGGGGGCTGCTTTTGTCTGTGGATCATGTGGGACTTCCAAGCTTTTATTGCTGATAGAGTTTTGAGTAAGTGGGTGTGGTTTGTCAAAGTTTTTTTTTTTTGAAATGTTAACGAATGTTTGTTTATGTTTGCCAAGGTTTGTTTATGTCAGATTCTGTGATTACTCTCTCTCTCTCTCTCTCTCTCTCTCACACACACACACACACACACACACACACACATGCATGTGCACACGCACAACAATTTTGTTCACTTTGAGAAAGAGGCTGAGCACTTTTCTTTTTTTGGGTGGGTAAGTTTTTTGATTGGATCCCTTTGTCATGTTGCAGTTTCATTGGTTTAACCACTGAGCCAAGTCCCTGGTTCCTGAGGCCTAGTTTGAACTTCAAAGATGTTGCCTCTATTTCATTTGTCATCAAGATTTCTGACTTTTACATTCCATGCATCAAGAGGATATCGCTGATGATTTTTCATGTCTAGGACACTTCTCTAGGCCCTCCATGCCTTTTGAACAACCAATATTGAGATTGTTTTCTGGGTGGTCTGGCATTATTTATATCTCTTGCTTTCAGAAGTTATTTCGAAAGCACAAAGTGCTAGAAAGTAAAAGCAATGGAAGTACAAATTGCTGCAGATCTCCTTAGAAACATGCAGGTCTCTATATTAATCATCAATTGTAGCCTTTCAATATTTAAGTCTCTATTTGTTGGTGAAAGCCCAAGTAGGTTTTTCTGCTCAATCTGTCACATAATGCTTCTCCATAAGACCTGCAGTTTGATTGGGAAGGGGTCAGAGTCCCTTCTTTTCACCAAATCCATGACATTGTGTTGGTGGTCAAACACTGCCATTTGTTATCACCTTTTGCCCCCCTGTGCATTAGCATTGCATGCAAAATGCCAGTTATTTAATTCTATTTGGAAAGGGGTACCACCCTCTAGTGTATGGAGCACAATCAATGCTACCAGTTACTGCTAATCCATTACCTTAATTAACGCGTACCAATCCCTAATGATGCCTTATTTTTGTTGATTGGATTGTGTCAATGTTTTTTCTGAAATTTTGCTGTTGTTTATCATTGTCTTCTACTCTCTCTCTCTCTCTCTCTCTCACACACACACACCTTTTTTTTCTGCTTATATCCTATTTAACGGAATCGAAGTATTTAAAGCTGTCTTTCCCTTGTCAGACATGGAGTACACACAGGTTCCAGGAGCGAATGCTTTTGGGGAGCAGAAGCTCCATTACAGGTGCAGGCGTAAGAAGCATGATTTGAGAATCCTAGGTTCCCTGCCATAAAAATCAATATAAACTTTGGAGATTGGCATCAAGAACTTGTAATTCAGTGCTCCACATGCATTTGTTAGGTGAAGTTGCCACCATACTCAGTGTTCTTTCAATTCTTGATGGCTATGATTTTCATGGGAGAAAAAAAGGGCAAATGGTATATGAATTCAATTTTTTCATCATGAGGAATTTCTTGGATGAAGTGTTGCATTTTATGTTTTTATTTATTTATTTTTTATTATTATTATTTTTATGGCTTATGTTTTTTCAATGATTAATGCGAGTTCAAAGTAGAATGCATACGGTTCATTTTCAATATCATTTATGCAATGTTATCAGATTCATTTCGGACTGCACTTTGTTTTGGACAGAAAAGGTAACAAATTCGGTACCTCGAAGATTTGGGATCTCCGGGGTATTCTTTTGGTGTATTTTAAAAGGCTGGCACTTTTTGTCAAATTTTTAAATCTCAAATCATATCTTACGAAATTATGGACATTATGGGTTGTACTTTCTGAAAATTTATGTACTTTAAGGTTGCTTTTTATTTGGAAAAAGTTTATATAAGGTGTCAACCTTGTACCGTAGAAGTAAAGTGCACTTTAAAAAGCCATTGAAAAAGGTTGATTCGTTATTAGAAAATTCTTCAATTGATCATATTGAGCTTTATACATATGAATATGAAATAAAAATCAATTTCAAGTCTTAAAAATAATATCATTTTAATAAATTATTTAGAC